GCTCTCGGATTTAGCCACTATATTCATGGCTTCGTTTTGAGTGGTGCTCGACATAAACGGCCTCGCCGTGCTGGGGAATATAGGCTCTCTGGTAGTCAAGAGACCTTGCGCTTGGGTCAACCTCTGGCTGAGGTCGTTCTTCATCAGCATACCCGTCGGATTGGTCAAGGGTATGAGGCTGGGCTTGGCCTCTATTTTGTTCAGGTAGCTCTCCACGCTCTGGGCGCTCTGGTTGGGCAGCGGCGCCGTCGGGTGTTCCATTATACCGAATCTCTGCAAGGCGGCGATGGAGGGTGCTGTGGTATTCACCAAATCCGCTACGGTGACGATGGGCATTTTCATGCGCAAATCCATCACTTTCTCCATAGTCGTGGACTTATCGCTCAACAGCGTAGAAAGCGTCGTGGTAGTGTTAATGTTAATGGCAGTGCTGCAAGTGCTGTCTTCGTTCATCGACGACATATTCGAGTTGGCGCAATCCAGGGAATTCTCGCAGATGGAATTCGCTCTGTTGATGCACACCGGATCGTCGTTGCCCACGCTGATGTTGGAATTCTCGTTCATGTGACTCATCATTGAGTTGTCGTTGATCATCGACATGTTGGAGTCGCCGTGCTGGACGTCGAGCGAGCTCTCCGACAGGTGCCGGTAGCGCTCCTGCTCGATGATGGAGCCCTGGCTGCTCTCGTCGATGTACTCCTGCTTGAGGCCGTGCAACGGCGGCGAGTGCGTGTCGCTGGTGCAGGGCATGTTGACGGACGGCCGTCTCGTCGATATGGGCACCATGCTGGACTCGGGCGGCGGCATCATGTCGAGGTCCTGCTCCCGCTTGCTGATCGAAACCGACGAGTGCCAGAAGTTGCTCTTGAAAAACGGGGGCGCCTGGGCCTGGGGCGGCGCCGGCTCCACCATAACTGCAAATTACGGAAATGCATGTTATTTACTGGTTCCAGCACTGTGTGATTCCTAAATTATTAGCTGCCAGCTCAGCCGCTGTAAAAGAAGGGGGATTTTGTCACTCAAGCGAGCGGGTTTTGCTATTCGCAATTTTGATTATTTAAACTACTTTATTGAGTGAACTCAAAAACATGTTTTAAAGATTTTAACCCAGGCTTGATAGACACGACCCACAATGTTGACGCTTCACATTTGTGTACCAGAACCATCTATATCGTGGTTAACAATCTCACCTCTCACATCTACACTTTCTGTAACTAGTATATATATTTTTTGCTGTTTATTAACGGGTAAAAGGATATTCGTGATAGTGTAAAAATGATTAAATTGTAGCTCAGGCAAAATAAGTCTAAATTTCGTTGGACAAGAATCTTTCGTTTGTAAGAAACCTCTCTACCCATGTAATTAATGGCTATTTACAATTTTTGGGGTTAGTATTGCCAACACCTTGCCACACTCCTGATGTCATTTTAATGAGGGAATACGATGAGGTTATTGATGCGTTTATTACATGATTTCAAAAAGCGTTTTTTGAAATCATGTACCGATGAATGATGTGGTGATATATCGCTAATTTGATGAATTAATATTAAAATTCTAAGTGAATTGTATCGAAGAACACGTTAAAATCCGACGCGAAAATGGGTTTCATGAGATGATTATGTGGTAGTTAATTCAGAAAAAAAACATGTATTCTGCCTAAAGACGACACAAAACAAAAATGCGGACATACTAGAGCACACTTCATAGATTCTTGTTCAACTAATTGGTAAATTTTTGAGCACCTCCAAACCGAAAATTAGAAGAAAAAAAATCAAATCATTGGCTTTCATGCGGCACCTAAATTATTTCAGCCCTTTTTATTTCATTAATGTGTTATTTTTTAGGGCTTAACTCCTTATTAGTTAGTGCATGAAATTTTATAAATAGTGAATATTTAGAAAGTAATTTTGATACAAAAATTCTTTAAATAAATGAATACCCTCTTTAATTTATTGCCAAAATATTTTTGACCAATCCCAAGAGTTTGAGTCAGAAAAAAGCCAAAATTTTCTAATTTCCACTTCATCCACCCAAAAACTTAAGCCCCCCTTAATTAACCTGCACTATTCAGCAACTTCTACAATAATATCGGCGCCAATTTCGACGTTAAACAAGAACCTTTCGATTGAAAATAAAAAAAATTGTAGAGAGGAGTCTTTTAGGGTAAAAATTAAGGGATCCAATGGTAAAATGGAAATATCGATCACAATCATGATGGATTCAACTCGAGCACTCTCTGCGTGAACATTACGGGTCTATTGCAAGGTTAGGTTACGATGATGGCATCCCTGCAAAAAAATTTAAATACATTCCGCCTCGTCCGTGACGCCCGCGCACCTAAATGGAAATCCTGGATTAATTCGGAAACCTATTTTGAAATGTTTTTTTTTTCAAATTTCGATGCTTAAGATTAAGTTCGAAACTGTTTTACATACGTATTAAAGTTAAAATTAAGTTTAAAAATTAACCTAGAGTTGTGTGATGGTAAACTAGTTAAACGGAAGGGAATGTGGAAGGTAATGTATGTAATACAACTTTGACGAATCTCGTTTTTGGAGGTTTGAGGTAGTTAAATAAAAAAAATTCGAAAATATCAAAATAAATGTATAGCTCTTATGATCAGCTTTTTAGCGTTTTGTATTAAATTAATCGCTCAATTCTCAGCTATTTCTGATCATTCTTTTTTTTATTCAACCAAGTTAAAAAGTTGACTCGCCTAGTAATATAACGTTCAATACGCTATAAACCCATAAAACAATAAACATCCGAACGTACGCGTACAGAGACAATTAAATTTGCTTATTACTTTATAGGCTTCATCAAGAAAAAAATTATTCTCCTCCAAGCAAACTCGCCAACCTTTCTGATTAAACTCTGAAATTTATTAACTCTTTTCCTGACGTCGTGCTGGTAAAATATATTCACAATATCCTGTAATTTTACCGGCCAAGTGAGTCTACTTCTTTCCTTCGATAAACAAAATCACCACAAAACAAGTTCGTCGAAGTTCGTCCACTTAGGAAAATTTACTCATCTTAATAAGAAATGAAAGCGCCAATTCGTCTAATGAAAAATGATTATTAAGATATTTCATTTCTTAAACAACAGTACATTTTCCGATTCTAAAAATGTTGTTTGATGTGTTTTTGTTGGAGTAGAAAGTACGGAAAAACAACTTTCTAACTGTAAAATACGTGTAATTTAGGGTTCTATTTTCGCTCGAGTTGATAAATATTTTTAAACGATATCGAAAAAAAGCTTAAAAATTATTTATTAAGAGCGAGCGAAAAGTGTGTTTGATGTCTGTGTGCGTGAGTAACGTGTAAATTTCTATTTTAATCAGACTTTTAATTAAATACACCTGATTAAAATAACCGTATCAAAAACAAAGGTGACGTGCTTGTGGATGTTTTCTTGTAAAATAAAGATTCATGAACAAAACAACAAAGGAAATCTTCAAACATATGTAAAAAAATCTTAATTTTTATGAAGGAAATGATACAAAAAAATGCAATAGATTACCCCCTTATGATACGAGAAAAACGTCCAAAGTAAAATAATCACCTTATAAAACTAGTCTCGAAATACAAGTGTACTGTTTTTCGTTTGAGCTGTTTTGTGTAAAAGGATATTTTAGGTGTAAATGATGTATATCTTGTGTGTTTTTTTAAGTACCCGTTATTCTAGACGCGTTCATCTGACACTACGGCAGTCGCCTAGGCCCCACAGGCAGATAGTAGACGGCTTGCTGCCCCTCTGCGTATACAGAGCCTGTATGCTATACGAGAAAAAGTGAAAAAAAGCAAAAACGCTAGTGAGAAACTTGATTTTTCAAAAATTTCGACTTAAAATTTACAATAACTTTACTATGTAAAACTACCTGTGTTGCAAAGTTTTTTGACGTTTTTCTTGTAATAATGGCATGATACGATTCGCACATTTGCTATGATACTATTCTTTTATTATGGGGATGATAAAAGAATTTTGTTCTTATAGAATTTGTGAAGATTCGAGTTTGGAATATAATACGTAATTTCAATTAAATGCAAAAAATGAATAAATGAACCAAGTACCAGGTGGTTAAAAATAATGGATTTTATTCTTGAGAAGTTGGCAGTAAATGTCAGAAATTGTGTTGGCAATGCTGATTTATACCCTTTTTTGATAATTATCATAATTATAAATTCTCATTTCTTAAAATTAATATACACCCCTAATATACTCGCGTAGGTACTTATATGAATCTCTTTTAATAATGACTTTCTGAGCTACATGAAAATAATTCTCTGGGGAATCCCCTCGTCCATTTACCAATTGCCAACCTCTGAAAAAAATCTCAATAATTTACAATCGCCCGGTATGAATTTTTCAAATTTTTATGCTCCATCAAAACGTAACAACAGGATGTTAAAACGAGACGCAACATCAACAATAACCAAGTACTTGTAAGAAATCATCAATTAAGTTTAAGGGATAGGCTGATTAGTTTTACTTCTTTTTATGCGCTTTTTTTGTAAATTTCTTTTTTCGAGTCAAAAAAGTTTGCAGTACAAAATATAAGCAAGAGAAGACTTTTTGGCTTTGGTAAAGAAATTCAGAAAATTACACTAACACAAATTGGTAAATCACGTACATACAACATAATAGTTAAATAAATTACATTTCAATGTTTGGTTTGTTTTTAAATACATGTCACAGTTAGATAGATACATTTCAAAATGTTTGTATACAAGACACAACATAGATAAATGTAATTAAAAAAAAACGAAAGAGATTTAAATAAAAAAAGGAATAAATAAATGTGAAATTTTCGTTGTAATGAAGGTTTCATCCTAGATAAAAGACAAAAAAATGCAAAAGATCAAATATATGTCTGCTCCAAAGCCATATTTACTGGAAAATTGTGTTAGGGCTACGTTACCAATGTCAGAAAAAAGTTCACGAAGGATATAAAAAACAAAACTAAATAAAAAAAAGACTTAAAATTTATATAGTGCAAAACGACACGGACCTAGAAACATGGGGTGATAAAGTAGCCCAAAATCTGGAAAAATCGTGGGGCAAATGTGACACTACACATTCAATACAAACGCCTTTCAACGAAACTCTCGCAAGCTCTGTAAAAAAGCATGCGTTCGTTATCTATCAGAAAACCTGTACACACAAAACTCCAATCACCAACCTCATTCGTACTGTAGCGTACATTTGCCGCCTGTAACTTAAAACAAATCGATAGTAAGGTGAAAAATCTACGTCAAAATTTACTCGAAAAATACCAATTTTAAACAAAAAAATTTACATAATTTGATTATTAACAAAATATTTTCGCTAGTTTTAATTTTTATAAATATTTTTCACCCTCATTCGTGAAAAAAACCATTAACAATAGGCACCTTATAAATGTTTTAAATTGATTTTAAATAAATATATTTAAATAAAAAGTTTGTAATAAAATTGCAAACGGTTTTTTTCAGCCATTCGTTCAAATGTGTTCATGCACCAAATCCTTAAAACATCATTGGCTTAAATTGATCATCGCCCGTCTTGCAGGATTCATGCATAAAGACGAATAACCCATTTTTTTACATGACAATTTCAATGTTTTATTAAATATGTTACGTGTTTTAATAACGATAGCGCGTAATAATTAGTATTTTCTTTTCGTTCGTAATGTAAAAAGCTTGAAATGAAAATGAAGCTATCCATCTTTTATGCGTTTTCCTGCACACCAATTTTCGATTAAATTCGTTCCTGCGACAACTCGACAAGCGCTCTCGAATCGTTGTTTAAACTAATCAACGCTCGAGCAATAAAATCGCTTTGAATACCAAACAAACACCGTAAGGACCCAACACAACAACTAGGTCAATATATAGGCCTGACGTAAATGAAGTACAGTTTAATTACGCGCCGTAAAATAATCGAACAAACGGCGCAATTTAAGCCAATTTCTCAAAGATAATTTCCCAAAAATAACAATAATTTATGCTTACCGCTCGGCACCCCGTTTACGGGTGTATATACAAACTGATGTGTTTCTGATCTTTTACCGCTAGACTCTACGCATAACCTAACCGGTACCGGTTCGGCGATCGGCTCGGTTATGTCAGGTCTTCGATATGGCGGTACTACACAAACAAAGTGCGTCTAAAACAAAAACAACACGAATTAGAGCTAGAATTAGAGGCATGTGTAAAAAGGTTGTTAGCTACAAGATGCTAAATGTAGATTACCAGATAAAAGATGCTAGCTGCAAGATGTTAGATGTAGGATGCTAGATACAAGGTAAGGATGCTAGATATATAACGATAGGTATAGGATGCTAGATGCAAGTTTCAGGATGCTATGCAAGGTACATGATGCTATATGCAAGTTACAAGATACTAGATGCTTGATGTTAGATAAAGAAAGCCAGATATTGTCAAAGAAATCTTAGATGGGAAGAAAAACTGTAGAACTGTACATAAAGCCCTCAAATGGTTATATTGTTCCATATTAAAAGATCTCTATAGGGTCGGTCTATTGGGATCTATTAGTATTATACATACTATATGCAATGAGAAACTAGGGATGTTTATGGAATAAATTTCTATCTAGAATGAGCACTATAGAACTGATAGATAAAGCCATAGAGTGATTATATTGATGTTAAATGGGCTCTATAGGGGCCTACTATTAGAAAAGCAAATTTGATCTAAATTGCGTCCTGAAAATACATCTGTATATATTAAAGTAGATCTCTTACCTGTTGTAAATATTCCTTATCCGGAACAACGGATTGCTCCCAACGGACCTGTCCATCTTCGTACTGCTGGAAAATCACTTTAGTGTCTTTGAGGAAATTTTTGCCGAGGACGAACAGCTCCAAACCGCCGGTGGCCGGACAACACGTCAATGACTTTTTGCAAATTTCTGGTATACCCGGAGGTTGAGCTGAAAATTAACAAAATATATAAAACTTATTGTAGTGAAATGGTCACTTCCAAGCGATTAGTGTTTGTCCAGTACTCAATTAGACAAAGTTTCCAGTACTGAACAGGATGGTGTTATGCAATATTGGATGGTGTTTTGTTATATTTGTATTATATTGGATGGTGTTATGCAATATTGGAAGGTATCATGCAATATTGGATGGTTCTTTGCAACATTGGATAGTGTCATGCAATACTGGATGCTGTTATGCAATATTGGATGGTTTTTTTGCAATATTGGATAGTGTCATGCAATACTGGATGGTGTTATGCAATATTCGATGGTGTCAAGCAATAATGGATAGTGTCATGCAATACTGGATGGGATTATGCAATATTGGATGGTCTTTTGCAACATTGGATAGTGTCATGCAATACTGGATGGTGTTATGCAATATTGGATGTTTTTTTTGCAATATTGGATAGTTTCATGCATCGATAGTGTCATGCAATATTGGATAGTGTCGGGTAATATAAGATGGTGTCATATATTCACAATTCATGAGAAAATCCACTACCTTAACCTTACCATTAGTGACACTATCCATTAGACAAGTGAAGAAAAAATTTAAAATTTCCAAGTAAACTTACTGCAAACGATAGGTTGCGAGCAAACTTGCAGCGTCTCCTGCGCCCCGTCGTCCAGCGTGATGGTCGTCCTGAATATCATGCGACACCTGGTCGACTTCTTTTTGCTCCTGTTACCCAACTGGTCGGGAAACCGGTGTTCGACGTCGACGTTCCTCTCCTTTAGGATGCCGACGCAATCGCACGTGGCGCTCATGTCCTTGGACGGGTCCAGTTGCAGCTCGATGACGCACGTCCCGTCGATTTTCTTCTCCAAACAGGGCGTCGAGTTTTTCCCGCTGACCTTGCACGCTTGGTAGAACATGTGCGGCGCCACTTTGCCCACGTCCGTGCCGATGAACACCTAAAAATATGTAATTTCGTACCGTTTCGTCGTACCGGAATCGACGAGGTGCTTACTTGCAGTATGGCGGGTTTGAAGTAGCCGACTAATTGTACGATGGGAAAACCGTTTCCTTCTCTATCCTTGACGGCCCCTCGGCTGCCTTCTGTTTGGTAACGGGCCCTGTGCTGTTGCTCCGGTTGCTTGACGATTTGCAGGGATACTTCCACTGAGAGGAAAAAAAGCGAGCAAGGAGAAATTGGTTCGAATACAGTTCGTAATGGTTTAAGTAGTAATGTTTCGATGCTTACTGTAACGGGAAGCGTTCATCAGCTGCGTGGTGAGCGGCATGGGTCCCGAAGAAGGCTGTCTGCTCGACAGAGGAACGCATCTGGGTACGGCCCTGCCCACGGCGCCGCCGCTATTGGACGATACGCTGAGAGAAGGTACTGTACTGGTCGGTGCTGTTCTGATTAACCTACAACCCAAAACAACCGCGAATAAATAACCGCTATCCAATGGCGAAGGCGACACAGATTTCTATATATGAATGAAATGAGTTAAACGTAGAGTAAGTGCCCCATATTTGGACCATTTTAAGAACGTTCTTTATATCGAGTAAATGCAAAGTGTGAAACGAGTGAAAGTGGATAAGACCACGAGGAAGGTGAGGCATGTTGCAATTAATTGTATTAAGTTTTAATATTCTATAATATTCCAATTTTCTGAAAAAAAATATTAATTTCAAAATGAGTTAGTATCACAATATGGATGAGAAAAGAAAATGGGGTTTTTGAATGCTTCCAAAACATACACCCAAAACAAATTACTTAATGATATCACCATCCAAAATCTTGGGATATAATCAACATTACCGAGCGAATTGAAAGATGAATAATATATTCTAGAAATGGAAAAATCTGGATATGGTCCATATTATGTTCACTTTCTGAAAGTTCATAAAAATAATATACATTAGAAAATGTTAATTATTTCAAAGATTTTGTTTTTTTGGAGAATTTTATTATGAGTTTTTCTTAACTAAATGGTTAAGGAATTGTTTAATATAAATAAAGCTGATTAAAATTTAAAATTCGATTTTTTATCGAGAAAAGTGCTTATGATGGTCCATATATGGCGCGCTTCCTCTATTAAATGTAGACACACAGACGGAAAGTATGATGATAAGCTGACCTATTGCTCACCCCGAACTCTCGCTCCTTTACTATCGATGTAAGTGTAGGAATGTACTAGAAAAGGAACGAGAATTCAGGGTGAGCGATAGGTTCGCTGATCATAGTACATTACAGCGTGAACCAAAAAGGCGAAGCTCTTTTAGCCAACCAGATGAAAACCTTTTTATGATGACTTTACATTTAGAAATGGTTAATATTTAATCGTTAATTGAAACATCCAGTACATTTAAGCGCGACTCAAAGAAATTGGTAAAGGAAATTGGATTGGAAATCGCCCTTAGAAGTTGTCAAAAAAGAAACCCCTTAAAAACATCTTCTACTCTCGTAATATCTATATAATTTAACGGTTAATTACGCGGTTTCTATAGGTTTCCTTTTCAACAGATAATCAAAACATCAAAAGGAAATTCGGAGAGAAAGTTTCCCGATCGGGAGGCACACAAAAAGTAGAAGATTAGCGATTATTTGTTAGTTGCAACGAATATGTTAGATGACGATAAACATCCAGCTCCACAAGAAGGCTACTTACGATAAATTATTATCTTTACAGGTTCTGACACTCTCCGGAAAACAATAACCATCGTTGAGATCTTCATTTTCCAATTTAATATCGAGTTTAGGCCTTTTTGGTTCCGCCCTTTCGCCCGTCCACGTTAATCTTTCGCTACCGATACTATGCTGATGATGGTCCATGTGATGGTCGCCGAAACTGTATTGAAATACAAAAAAATATTAATTGGATGTGTGAAGTATATTCGATTTTTATCTGTAATAAAACCAAAATTTTTCTACATACAAACAGTTCAATGAAAATCAGTTAATTTACCTAACAACTCAACCAAGGCCTCACTAAATCATTTATAACGAAACTATCGATTTTTTTAGACATCAATCTTTGCTAACAACAAATCAAATATAATAAAATATTTTAAAATACCCGACTAAAAATAGATTTTTATTAAGCTTCATTTCATTACCCGAAACGATCGTAAACAGATTCGTATTTCGGGAAGAAGTTAAGATGAAAAGGCGGAGGAATGAAAACAGCAATTTTCCGTATAAATAATATATCCCGCGCGAAGCTAATTTACCTTTTATCCGATCGGATATTTACGTTAGAGATGCGTAAAAAAGGTAAATAAATATTTTCTCCGGACGAATCCAAGGCAATGGTCTAATTATAGGCAACAAAATGTGAGTAAGTAGCTTGTTTGATAAATAACACCGACTTTGTTTCGCAAATTTACTCAATATTGTAGCTTCCTATTTATTGTAGTAAATTATTGTATTGTTATCGTAAGTATGATTCAGCGGTTTTTACTTACTAATAGAGTCTAAAAGTTTGTTTTTATGTTAACATTACGCATTACCGAGTTTATGTAAGTGGTATCAACATTTTTTTATATAAAATGTAATAGAAATAAAATCAATAATAGAGTCGGAAAGAACCAGCGGGAAATATACACTAATGTCACATTTTTTTACACGCTGATGTACTCAATAAAATCAATATTAGAGCGAGGAAAAGATAGTAAGAAATATTTTCTAAGTATGACTTATTTATGATATTTTGAAAAACAATCTAAACTTTTATACTGCAATGATTATATTCAAGGACACTAAAGTTTCAAGAATACTAAAGTTCCAAGGATTGATCAATCTGTGTGACGTAATCAACAAGTGAAGATTTATTGTTTATAGTCTACCAGGATAATAATGGAACTCACCCTATGCCGCTGTCGTTGGAATTATCGCAAGGATCCAAGCTCCTCCTGTATGTGGACCGGACTTTAGCGGACATTTCTCTATGCCTGACGGGCACGTTGCATGATTTGCCGCTGGGAGGCCTTCCGGGTCTTCTTGTGGCTCTCGGATTGACTGCGGGAATTGTACAAAGGGTCATCTTTGATTCATCTGCAACGAAAAACACGCCTCGATTATATTACTATAATATATTCTAACGTATTTTAACAAGCTTCGATAACTTATCGGGTATTGAATAAAATATGAATTCTAGTATTTAAAACATCCACTATCCGTAGCGAAGAGTACTTTTCTAATCAATTTTCGCAAATTCAAACTACGCACGCACGTATTTCGATTCGAAAAAATAACAAAATAAATATTGCAAAAGCCTTGAGGTATTTTTGCGATAAAGAGAATTTACTTTACAAATTTTTTACTAATTTTCGTGTAACATTTTAAGGTCATTGTTTAATAAAATGTAAATACATTGTTTTGCAATAGAAATTAATATAAAAATTTCGCGAGAGTTCGTGGGATTCTCGCTCGCTCGAGCAGCGCCTTTTGAATTGACAGTAGCTATAAAATTGTTGGCCTAAACATAATGATATAATAAAACATTTTTCTAAATATCAAGCTAATTGTAAACCTTGGCGCCTTCATAAAAGCGTGTTTAATGTTCCTATTACTAAAATTAAATTAAGCAAAGCATTAGGAAGTAGTAAAAATCGTCATTTATCAAGTAACAATTTTGTTTATACAAGGAGATAAACCTCTGTAAACAAAAACGTCATTATTTAGCACAAAGACGACAATTCATTTTAACAAAAAAAACTCAAAAAACGTACAGCAAATATTTATCTAAAAATTTTTGGTGCGTTGAAAGAGATAAGGACCACGCGATAACGAACCCATCTAATTCGTCTCATTGTTAAATCAAACTTGCCCAAAGTCTGGCTATAAAACAATTCAAGCTTTTCCCAATCAAGTAAGTACATCAACTTATTAGCATGTTTCAATGATTTACATATTGAAAAAGCAGTATAACTTCTATCTACATTCAGATTCAAGTAAGACTTACTGTTTGCACAACAGTTCAAAAACAATAAGTAAACGATTAATTAGTGTAAAAGTAAACAGCTTAATTAGCAATTAACCTAATACGAAGGGCAAACATATGCATATTTGGCGTACCGCAATATTTAAGCACGTGAGGTCGGCCCGCCACTGTTGCTCGCATGTAAAGCGATTATTATCACCGCAGACGCTATTGCAATGAAATGATAATCGAATGATAAAAATCCGCGACTGTAATTGCTTCGTTTATATCAAGGCCAATTGCCATTTAGGAGTAATTCGTAGCGTTGAATTCGGTCAATTCAGGACCTGCCGTATTGTTTATTTGAGCGAGGATCTCCGGCGAAAAATAACTTGGAACGAAATACGACAGGAACGAAAACAGGAGCCTAAAAATGTCTGAGGCAATAAATTTGTTAGGCGCTAGTGATTAATTAAACGGGTTTATTTGTTTGTATGTAAACGCTCGTTCTTTACAATAAGATTATTTAATTAGATACCAAAAAAATAATTATGACAAGGATAATTAAAGGTTGAATTTGTTAACGAATTTTTACGAATTTACGTTCATTGATTATTATAATACGTTTTAGCCGGTACTATTTTGCATAAATAATTGCCTTTTAAAGCTCGTAATTTATTCTTTTTAATTAGAATATTTTTTGCTTGTCATGATTATGTATCTATCATCATCTTTAAAATGAAAAACAAAATGGATTCCCAAAATACCTGAAATCAGTTTCGAATTCCCAACCTTGAAAGGATACATGCACCTGTACTCTAGGTTAGTATCAAGTTCAAGTTGAATTTTGTTAGTAAACTACTGGTGATTTTTGTTATTTAAAACGTTTCTAATAGGCTCTTATATCAGTATTTTAATAGGATAATAACAACGACCTAAAACAACGGCCTAAAAAGGGATTTTTTTTCTTTTATGTATTCAGGAAAAAGACTCGACTTCTTCTTATCCAGTCAATTTATGTAAAAACAAAACAGAATATTAAATACCTAAAAATATATCTAAATACAATATAATGTACCTACATAATCTTAAAAGCAAAGCTTCCTGAAAGCTTTTGTGAATCGCAAAGCCAAGCATACGGCCTTGATTTTTGAAGTTAATTCTGAATTTATTTACCAACACCTACAGTCGTTACAAAAGTATTACGATCAATTAGCAATTTGGTAAGTTAATCATGCGATATAGGTAAGTGTATTCAATTAAGAAAATCATAATTTGTGAATAATCTAAATTAAACTGTTGCAAAAATCAATAATTTTTAAGTTACGCACAATCGAGAAACCGTTAATAAATATACCGATAATATCGATTTCATGGTGTTGTAACATGAATTTTTTCTTCTCTACTTGATGTTTCTCATGGTTTCAAGGACACCAATAAACACATCTACTCTTAAATCTCGTGTGTTTCATCGATGTTTTTTCAATTTCACGATAAAATTCTTATGTAACGTTACTTATTTATGATGAAACATTTCTAATTATACAGAAAATTAAGAAACGTCTTAAAACCAGAATTCTACGTTAAAACATTTAATTCATTGAAAAATTTGTACTAGACTATATAAATTCGACCGTTCGACCAAAAAAATCAAAATCATTTAATTATTTAAATTTATATTTTAATAATACAATAACAATTTAGATGAACTACATGAAACTAAATGAAACACAACGCACGTATTCCATTATTAGTGTGTAACAAGCTAACTAAGTATAAAGGTGTAGAACAAGTCATCAAAAATAATTGCTGCAATAACTGATAGGTAATATCAATGGTATCACAGGTATCTGTAAAATTCTCGTTTTGTTTGGTATTAATGAAAAAAATTATTCTAACAACTTCTTTTAAATCTCAAATAATTAATATAATATAATAATTTTACAGTATACTGTACATAATTTTACAGTGATACACTGTGCATTTTAGGGAATTTTAACTGCTACTGAGAAGAGAGTATTCTTTACAGATTATATTAGCATCTAAAATGTTGATTTTACTTTAGTACTAACGAAGATTTTAGAAGACTCCTCGTTTACAAATAGACGAACTAAAGAATTACTATGACACGTTAAAGTTGCGTAATTTTATATTGCTAGTACTCTACTTAGAACACTAGGTATAATAAAAACGTTAAACATTCAACAATCAAAGCAAATTGAGTATATCCTTCAAATATTTGTTCTAATCATAAATGCATACAGATTTAATATCTAGATGATAATAACGCAGCCTAGTTACTTATGTAGCTATATTGTACAGCAAACAACTCTTCGTGTATTTATACTTGGGAGTATAATAGACAAAATGGTCGTTCAAATGGGGTTTCGAGAAATTCGATAGATATTATTAGAGCTATTATACACGAGTTTTGTGATACACACGTGTATTTTACAGAAATGCGGTTTTTCATCACGATTTTTTAATTCCCTTTCGACACGTTTCAAAAAACAACAAAATTTAAGAGTTCTAATCGAATAATTTCAGCTCAATATAATTGTTTGCTGGATTCAAATGAAATTTCTTCTTGGAATAATGACGAATAAAATTAATGCTATATTATTTAGTAGATATACTTATAATCGATTAGTCAGTGCCATTTATTAATATAAAATAAATTTATTTATTTTTAATTAGAAATAAAATAATTAAATGTTCACATGTTCTATAATAAAGTTTGTTAGAATTTACTTACTCTTTTTAGTGCAATTTATTACAAGTGCAACAGGAATAACTAGCTGTATATGATACACTGCATGTAAACAATGCACAATGATTTATAATTGAAAGATGCCCAGGTTACGTCTACAGTTATTTGTGTTGAATTGTAAATATAAATAGGTTATCAAAATAGATAAGTTCCTATTTTTCGCCCTTAATAATAGTAACATATTCTAACAAACAAATAACAACTTTCTCACCTCTTTGACCTGAACTTTACTATCGTTGTATTATTAAATTTTTTATTAATTAGCTTATTTTGACTTCTCCAATAGAAGTTTCGTCTATTAGATATAGTAATTTAGGACATTCCGTAATTTTCCCAAATAAAGTTATTATTTTCGAAATGGCACTTCCTCTTATTTTCCAATCAGATATTTATAATGATAAATTTGTTTTGTTTATAGATGCAAGTACAGTTTTGTATGCAATGATATTAGCATGCAAATAATCACATTCATTAATATAGATAAGAGAATCCCAATGGAGCAGTAGAAGAAAAACTTACTTTTATATGCAATTTAACTTTGAAATTTATATTGCCTATTTTAACGGTAGGTGTATTGAATTGTTCTGAATAATTCAGGTGTTTAGAACTATATTAGAACAACATTAGAACTTAAAAAAAGGAGTAGATATTTAAATAGTAACAGTACTCATACATCTCTTGTAGTTGCCAAAATGTGTCTAATAATGAAATATAAGTAGAATGCACTTTGGAACTATCGAATTAAATACGTTTGAATATTAAATAAAGTTAGATATAACTACTTTTAACAAGGTAATATCTACATTTAATTTCAAAGTACTTATTTGTCTAATTAGCAGTTTTCACGACAAGCGTCAATTCTAATTTAGAAAACTAATTAATAAAAAATAATCAGTGGATTATGGCAATTAATTGCATGTACATGTCGCATGTATTATTTAGGTCGTATCGTTGACTTTGTCATTTGTATACAAAACGAAGGGTCATAAAATAATAATAAAACGCTTGTTTACGCACATCGGTGATATACACATTTCCTCGTTATTACAGTTTAATAACGAGCCATTAAAAGAAAATTAATAAGTTAGTAAAATTAACTGGTTCTCGGGTCGTAGAACAAAAACCGGATTTTTCAACAAATATTAAAAAAATATTAACTACAAACGAGGAAAAATACCGATCACGCGAAAATATTTAAAACGCCGTATCGGATCCATTAAAACATGCCAAAGGGACCGTCGACAAAGTCCATATCACTATTTAAAATTTCCCAAAATTAATTATTTACCTATTAAACAAATTACACCCCTTGGGCGTTGAGGACGTTTCGATTTGAACTTGTTTTGAAAAATCACATAGATT